TTTGGTGTTCCAACGAGACCACTCGAGCTCAGTGGTTAATTACGGAGGAATAGTGGAGTTTCTACGATGCTCGTCTTTTTACTCCATGTTTTACAATACATCGTTACACACACAGAGTTTACTGGATGTTCAGAAATTTCTTGAAAGGGGCTGCTGCCAAGCCCGACCATTACACGACACCATACCGACATCTGTGATTCTTCCAACTGCCATCCATATATCCACAGGACCTGCACGTCATCACGAAGAGACATAGGGCCCAAACACGGGTACAGGCTAACCTAACCCCACCAGTGTGAAAAAGAGGAAGAGCAGAGGACGATAGGGAACAGCTTGGTGAGATGGCAATCTTGTGTCTCGCGCGAGGAAGCGTGAGACGTCGCAGCTTCGTGTCTCACCTAGTTCCAGGTCATCTCCCCCAACCAGACATGCCTGTCATTATTGCTTTTCGAACTTGATTCACCGAAGAACGGGGAGGAGAAACTCCTCAGATGCACGATTTAAACAAGGCTGACGTTCCCTTCGGTGAAAGAAGTGACAAGTATCGTTCCACACCTTGCTAACTTCTCAGTGGTAGCGGCAAAAAAATTGGCTTCGGAGGACAGAGGGAGGCTCTAGTAAGGAAATTCCAATTCCCATTGGTCACATTCCCTATCCACGACGACTCTTGTGGGACCTCAGTCCAATGAATATTTTAGAAGAGCAACGCCTCTCTTAGGCAATTGTGACAGGGAGGGAGGGGGTCAAGGTTTAAAAATAAAGGGACCCTTATTAAGGCTGCAGGCTGAGTGCTCATCAGCTAGGCAACCTGGGGGGGAGGGGTGGGGGGTGGGAGGGCGCTGATGAGCCTAACAAGTAAAAACAGATGTGGTGACATGCCAATCGAGAGAGGTCACAAGGTTAGCCTTTCTTTAGTTTTTTTTTTCCCTTAAGATACATCATCTGAATTCCTTGAGACCCATCGTTCCAAAATTGATTCACCTCCTTTCTTTCCCAAGGTCTCTTGGGTTCACCGAGGTTCATCCATAACGGTGGAGTACCTACACTCCGAAAGGACATGGATCTTGTTCTTCTGGCGACGCTCCAGACAGTGCGCCCACGAGAAAAGAAAAAGTACCGATTTCAACACGTGAGGTTTGACACGAGTTCCCACGTGACCTAGTTCTGTCAGCGCTAAAAAATACTTTCGCGAAAAAGTGAATTAATCTAAACTAATAGAGTGCATTTTCATGAGCCGCAGTCAATAGATGCGGCAATGACAGAACAAGTACTGATAATGTCGAAGAGAGAGCGTGAAAGGGAAAAAAAAAGGGCAAGCTCCTCCATCCGAGACAGGGCTGGCACGCCTGACGCAAGAATGAAAAGAGCCGCCTACTTCCCCTCATGCATCCGTCCCTATCCTCGTTATCGGGCCTCATCTCCCATCTCCCATCTCCCATCTCCCATCTCCCATCTACCATCCACCCTCCACGTCATACAGGGTAGGGCAAAAAAGAACACCCACGAATTTTAATCTCTGCTATTACTGGTATTTTCGCTGAAACCTACAACGTTCATAGGCTGATACATTTAGTTGAGAACTGTGACGTTTCATTAAAATTCATCATGCTGAAGCAAAGCTATGAGCAATTACTGAAAATGACTTGGATATTTATGATAGACAGGGACGCATGCTGAGAGTTGAGGGAGAGCCAGAGTGTTCTTTCTGGATAGAACGCACAGCTTAGTCGCTCTATGGGGCTCCAGTACCTCGTCCATTTTGTATTTCCTATTTATTTTCAGTAATATTTTCATAGCTTTGATCTAGAAGAACATAGTTGCACGAAATTTCAATGGGGGGTTGAGAACATATCAGTTTATGCACAATGCAAGTCTTCTAAGAATGGCTCCATTTGCAGAGGCATCTAGGTCAAAAGTCGGGGTCTTTTGTTTTCCATACTCTATACGTCCAAACTCATTCAAAAAGGGAGTTCAGCTCCAGTTCCTGCGCATTTGCAGACATTTCGGATTTTCGTTGAGAGCAGTCGATATGAGCACAGTGGAACTCCAGTCTTTTGGGTCTAAAGCTTTTGGATTTAAAGCAGGATCTAAAGCTTTTAGACCCTGCATTGACTCTCCGCATAACGACTACGACGAAGATGGAGTAGGCGTGGGGGAAAAGAACGTCTGGAAATGTGAAAATTCATTCCTTCTCTCCCCGGCACTTGAGTTGGGGGAGCAGCTAACGGGACAGGGGAGCAACGCAGGGGACACGAGGACAAAGGATCCTTAAAAGAGACCCAGTGAGGTTCATGGAAATATTTTATGCGGAAAAATGTGCTCATGTATGAGCATTAGGGCGCCATCCCCCCCATAAAACTTTACTATGACCTAAGCAATAAATACCACGAGCTTGAAAATGCATGCTGTCCACTCGATCGCGTGACCGCGAATATTAAAAATACGTGAATAATGTTTCAGGAAATGAAAGTGTCGTTTTTAATTCGTCCATGCTTCCTGTATGGGCACTGGAGACCACCGTATGCTCTCTGCGCCGAGTTTCACACTCCTTTCGCAAGGTGCATTGTTCGGTGAGTGCGGTCATTCCCGATGACCGCCAGGGATGACTGTAATGAGGACTTTCATGAACCGACGGGAAACTTCACATGATCACCGGAACTGAGCCTCGATTTTCACGGTAGGCTATAGACAGGAAGCAATACGTTAGGGGAAAATGAGGGGGTCAAGTGGAGCTCGGTTGACGGCTGCAATTTCGCGTTTGGGGATATTTTTCCAGGTCCCATTTCGTGCAGTACGGCTCTGGCGATGCAGTAGAGTGCGTAGAGTGATCGGTTTTGAGGGGGGACAGGAGGGGGACCGAAGGGGCACTGGAGGGGGACTGGAGGGGGGGAATTAATTCTGGGGAGTTGGCCACCCGGAACGAGAGAATGGGACATTTTGGGGTTTTTCATCGACCTGCTTCGTCGCAGGGATTGCAGCCATCACCGTCTATTACAAGCCACAAACCACGACACACATCACATGTTATGCCGTGCGCTTCCTCGTGCACGGCATCTGCCTCGACCGTAAAAAAAAAAAAGACGCCGTCCTGTGATGGATATTCGAAACGCTGTGCGCCGAAGAGAGGTGGGCGGCATGGGACGCTTGAATACATGCAATTAAAATATGATGGATGTCACTTCTATTCCCGATTTAGATCGGAGCGGAAAAAAAGTTCAGCGATGATGAATGACTTCTTTACAATACGCCGCGGAAATCCATTTTTTCCCATGGCGGAAAAGGCGTAATCACTTGATTACAGGTGATTGCGGGACACAGGGAAGGAAAACCATTTCTCCTTCGGCCCCCTTGCAAAATGACCGCTGGCCATATGCCATTCACTCGTTGTTCCTCGGCATGAAAATTCTCACGGTCCAGCCCCAAAATATATTCAATTCGTCACACTCGAGGCTCCTTGCATGAGCGATCGCGTTTTTCTTGGACCTTCACAGGCACCTCTGCTTCTTTTGTCGCCCGTCGGACATGGTTCTCTATAATGAATCCGGCCTTTTTCGTTTCTTGCTCACGCGCAGGCGATTGCAAAAGCAGGTGGAGAACCTGACGGTGCATCAAATGAGGCCACATACACACAAGACCGAGAGATTGATCAATCAAATGGCATTCATCGCAAAGGAGGGCGGCGATGCATTAACCTCGGAATGATTCATGAAGGCTCTGGGCTCACCTGTGAGTCTGCAAATGGAATCCTATTATTGGCTTTGTCCACCGACGAAGATTCTCCAAAATCGCACCGGTTTCGCACTAACGGGAAGGACGAACACCCCAACAAATACTAATTCTGGCGAGAGGCAAGTTTTCCGTCCCCTATCTAGACCTGTCTTGCGCCCAATCCATCCCCTCGGGGCATTCCCGTCTCTTCGTGTCCATTCCTTCTGATTGGTCCATGCCAGACCCATCTTGCACTCCAAAAACATTCCCCCCCCCCCTCCCCCTGGCATTTTCCTTCCTCTCCGATCCAGACCAGGCCTTTCCCGCACCCTAACATTCCCACCAGGTTTTTCGTCTTCCTGATCTAGGCTCTCATGCAACTTAACTTCCATTCCACTCCGGGCATTTCGTCATTCTTTTTTCCTTTCGCCACGCGCTCCCATCCAGGACTATGAGTCTGGGTCGGGATCGATCACCAAGTGAAATGGACCATCGTTTGTCATGCGATATTGGGGGGGATAATGGGGAAGCATTGAGACCAGACGGGGAGATCATCTCCCTCATAATGGGAAATGGGGGCTCATGGATTCAATGACGAACGCGGCGATTGCGTGAAGAAGAATCGGGCGCTCCCTCTTATATGCGTTCCAGCTTCCTTTGTTTTGAATCGCATGATATATAAAAAAAGAAACACACGAGCGTGTGAGCATATACATTGTGAATACGTATGGCATAATCATAGGCCTGTAAGGGAAAGCGACCCCCAGCTCCCCAGCTGCCTGTAATTGCCTCGTTACGGCGAAGGGTTCATTTCCCGTGTTCATTATACCCTTCCACTACCATCGTTTTTTCTTCTTTTTTTTCATTTTAAAATAAGAGCACGAAGTACAGTGGGTCCCACGACACATTGCCTGCTCTCAACTCCGCCAGGAAAATAAGTTTTGAAAAGCCTCCATCCGAAGTTGAGCTATTGTCACGACAGAAGGAAAGACTTCGTTCCTCCAAGAAATCGTGACTCTGTTTGATTGTCTGGGGTGATCGAGGAAAAGACAACCTTGTTTGTATGTGGATCCTTGCGGTCCTTCTCTGACAACAAAGAGAGCTCCAATTGGCGAGACACGCCGGGAACGTGTTTGTCATACAGACGCGGAAGGGGGTCTTCAACTTCATGATGCAGCATTACTCAGAGGTCAGACCAGATTCCTCCACGTTGCCTTCCCTCATTACACCTGTGGGCAAACATATTTTTACCCACAACCCAGAAGTTCCCTCGCAATCCAGAGTCTTGGGTTTCCGTTCACAATCATCTTTATTCCAATACTTCTTTTTCTCCAAGTCACACATTTACACCCACACTTGAGAATACGAACACTACACCGAGTTTCTCTCTAGGTTCAACGTCCTGTATTTTTGGCAGTGGATTCACGAGAGCCCAAGATTTGTTGAGATGAGAAGAGTCGAAGGCACTTCCTCTTCCTGCTCTGAATTTCCACGATAAATGAACAATAAAGTTTTTTTTTCCCCTGTTTATTTCGCCTCAGACGTTGATATGTAACAGGCACTGTTTAGAGATGTGTAAATTCTTGACTAGAACGCAAAACACATTTTCCTTTATCTTCTGCTCATTTGCTTCAAACAACACGGAGAAAAGAAAGAAGCCTTCTGAGATCAAGGAAGACGAAACTAAGGCAATGATATGGGAAAGAGCCTCTACTCGGATGTGGAAAAAAAAAACGAAGTCCTCCTTATCGGGAAAATGTAAAGAATAAAAGATGGGCAATTCGATAAACTCTGACTCCGCTGTACACGAGAGGGGGCGGGGAGAAACATCACAATAGAAGTAGTTGCAGGCCATGGCAGAGGATGAGAAGGATAGATATATATTTTTTTAGCCTTCTCCTTCGCTTTCGTGGTCAGTCGGCGGATCCAAGGCAGTGTGCAACGTGAGAGAGGAATTACAATTGAGACTCACTGCCGGGTAGAAGACCCCCTGCAGATCCCGAAATGCCACTCCACCCTACAAGGAAAAGGGACTCGTTCGTTTCCCTGCACAAGCCACATCTTTCCAAGGACGAATAATCTGGTGTACCTGGGGTTCCTCGTTGACAAAAAAGGACAGGGTTTTTCGGTTGAGGTCAAGAAGGACCCCAACTGTCGCTCCTCGGTCGATTCCACCATCCGTCCTCTGACTGTGACTGTCCCCATGAAGGAACCAGGATCGGGTGGAATCGATGTACATTCCCCAGCTCTTATCCTCTTTACCTGCACATAACACGGTCCGATTTTCTCTTACAAAGAAAGCGGGGAAGAAGATAATAAGAGTTAAGAAAAGAAGGAGGAGCTACTATAAATTCTCATAAGGCAAGAAAATGATGATGAGATTCTATCATGCGCTCTTGATGGAACACATAATTTCATTCCAGTAACTTCCATTCCACACCACCATAGAATCAGGCCTTCCCATTTTCTCCAGCTGTATGGATTGTTCTCACTCAACATGCTTGGGAATCCCAACTAATTATAATTAATTGCATTCACACAACAAACTACGATACATTTTTACGTTTTAGATTCACATCATACAGTCACTTGCGTACGTGAACTGAAGTCACTGAACGTGAATTCAAGGAATTCCCGAGTTTATCCGGTAATATACGAATCCGATATAATATTCATAAGCACTCTTTCAATCTCTACAGGAAAGAAGATATACTGGGAGACGGTGTGACGCATCCCAGAAAGCATCCGGCATGGGGTAGATCTATTCGATGAAATGAAGTGAAAAGAATATCGTCGAGAACACACCTAGCATACGGTCCCTGGCGGAGTCGAATCGGGCCACCCCGAAGGCAATATCCGGGTTCCCGTCGTATTTATCCACCGTCCACTCCCAGTAGTGAACTCCGCGGGAGAACCCGATGCAGCCGAGAACCATGCGGTGTTCGTAGCAGTCGCAGGTGACCCCCAGACCGTCACTGGAGACCCGCACCTCCGGCGGGGCGCTACTTCCGTCCAGAGTGAACCACGCCACTGCATATGCACACACGAGAAAAGGGGAAATGTACACTTCTGCCTCTTTCACATAAGGTGGTGTAATCTGGATGCTATAATGAAGACAAGATCATACTGGCATTTCCCTTGATCCCTTACAACAGGTTCAGAAGACCTCATAAGGTATGTCAGCTCCTTTTTCAGAGAAACACAGGGGCTCTATGAACCTTTAAGTCTTCCCCCACTTCCTCCCGTCATCATAGCCATGTCCAAGCGGAACAGTGAGAGAGAGGGTCCTTTCTTTTGACAGGCTATGATTAGGGAAGGCATTATTCCCTGAGCTTCCTCCTGACCCTTATATCATGAAGCCAATGCACTCCATTCTTCTCATGCATTTCTCTCGCTCTCCTAGTCTCTTAGTAGAGCCAGCATGTGATCTCGGTTCATCTCCAAATGAAACTCCAGGCGACGAATGAAGCATGACGGTACTAATGCGGGAGCAACAGGTACTCACACGCCCCCCCCCCCCCCCCCCCCACCGCAGCAGCATGTCTAGATAAAGGAGCGATGCGAAAGCAGCTCACCGTCAGCTGTTTGAAGGCAGATGGGTTCGGAATACGGTCCCTCTCCACTCGTATTGAAGGCTTTCACCCTTGCCGTGTAGACGGTATTGAAGTGCAGGCCATCAACGGTACACACCGTCTCTTGTCCACAGTACACCTCCTGTTAATCGAAAGATTCCTCACATGCATAATATGTCACAAGATATACAGCGTAGTACTATCGATGCATCTGAGTGCAGTGTGCCAAAGCATGACGGACGGCGCCTTGGGGAGCTTCTGATAAGGACTGGAGGTCATATAGTATACAGACGGGTTTATGAGCATGATTTATATACGCCTACATACCCAGCACAAAGGAAGGTTCTTGTCCGAAGAGAAAAGATCCCTGATGTAGAGATAAAGACGAGTTCTGGGACGCCAAGGTCACCCCCCATTACTTCTTTCATGACCCCGTTGACAAGTACCAGTACTGGAATTGAAGTGATGTACACAGTAGGCCTGTCGACAAAAACTCTAAAGCCTTCGTCCCAGATTCTAGGAGCCATGAATCACATGGGGGACATTATGCAGAAGCTTTTGGCTCCATGCATTCCGTGTGAGTCATCCAATCAAAACGAGGGGAAATTCTCTGGGTATAGGGAGGGAAAAAAGGCAAAGGGGGGAATAGGGATAATCCCATGACCATTAATGTGCCTACCCAATCGAAGTGGGTCGAACCATAACACTTCGCACGAGTCCCTGTTTTTCCTGTGCCAGATGGACTCCTTCCAGATATTCACACCATCACCTTACGAGATTGGCAGAAGAGCAACAGATACAGGGTGCTTCAAAAAAGTCAAACTATAGATTCCATGTAAACCGTCTCATACAGGTTTCTCAATGGTATTAGCCGTCTCAGAAAACCTCGTGAGCCACATAAGTAAGGAAAACGTTGTTCAATAGATGGGGGAAAAAAGGGCGAATGGTGTTGAGTCACCCTGTTCTGGAGTGCCCCCAATTGAGAGGAAGTAAGACTTGCTTGTCATCCTCGGCACCAATTACTGTCACCCAATCAATCGGAGGGGACCAGAAAGCTATGAAGGTATGACTGCACTCCATGGAGAGGTAATACAGAGAAAGTTCCTTCCTTTTGTAGCGGAGTTTCCATTAGGCAGACCGAGGACGTGGGCTCCGTAGCACATAAAGGGGGGAGAATCAGACAATACTCCTTTTCCATTCGCAAGGGGGTCAGAGCAAAGCGAAGTCGATCGAGTTATTAGCCCTGGGGATTCCGCTCCGTTGCCACAGTGCGAGGGAAAGGCTCGGGAAAGTTCTACCATTGATGAAAACTTCGTTTCTATCACTTTCTCTGAGGACTCCCATTGCGAGTAATGACAGCCATTAGATACTACATTGGAATCCGACCAGGGTAGGAGATCCGATGCCATCGAAACATCAATCACAATCGAAGCTGACCTTCTTGCCATGACATGCCGAAAGAGAACCGTGTCGAAAAAATAAGAGAGGACGGAATGGCGTTTAAAAGATGGAAGCTGAGGAAATGACAAACATGTGAAGGGAGTGGTCCCGGTCACACATCCCGTCAGTGATCGATGTTTTGGCGATTCCCCTCCTTCCCCCCCCCCTCTACTCATGATAAATGGTCTCCCGTTCTGTTGCTAATTCCCATCTTGCAGGGAGGGTGTGAGAGGGACCTCCACTGTTGCTCCCCTCCCAGCCAAAGCAGATTCACCTCTGGCGACAGAGTTCTCTATAAATCAGATTCATCCATTTATCCACGGAGGGCCTTCCCTATCAAATGCACTCCCTATTTGGAGCAATGCAGATGCAGGGTAGCAAAACAGGATCTGGCATTCGTATGACGTGTTTACCAGACCCAGGCTCACGAGCAGACTCATAATTGGCAAGCGAGTGCAATATGTCTTCAATAAGATCGTTAGCTGCTCTGTCAGAGGCCTGTCATCGTCATCAACAAGTAATTGAGCCTTACCCCTTAGGGATTCCAGTCCAACTCTTCATCATCCGGATACAAACCAGTACTTTTGCCTCGCAGCCTACATTTCCTCATATGGTGCTACAAGCCCTTTCTTGTGAGTCTGGCCTCGAAATCTCTCTTCCTGATTCCATGGAGCCCCTCGAAAGGTCAGCCGGTTACGCGAAGGCAACACGATATACATAATTCAATGCGGAGATATGTCAATTAACACCGTTTCTTCTCGTCTTGCCCCAGTTTGAAGCTGGAACAATACTAGTTCTGTCCATTAGATTAAAACGGGGACACAAGGACAAGAAAAAGTGCTCTATACGATGGCGATATATACCCATCTCGTTCTCCTTCCGTTCCCATGAGGCACTGCGTGATGAATGAGGGTTTTGATTGACACTCAATTTCACCCGCCCAGTCGATACAATGAAGGAAACTTGGCAGGGGGGCTGCCCAACATTGCAGGAACAGAAAAAAAATTGGGGAGGGGCGAAGACAGAAAAAAAGGGAAGCAAATGTAATTAAGGGGAAATGTTGCTAAGCCATCTATTCAGCGGAGCGAGGCAGTCGCACGTGTCGATCTCTAGGAAAAAAAAGGGACTCAATTCGGGTTTTGCGCATCACGTGCTGATCTAATCGCGCCTGCATTACATTTACTATCTTGGATTATATCATTGTGGACGAGATCGAGTCTACTTAATGAGTGAGCATCCTTGCGTGGGGTAATCAGGACTAGAATCAGTACTACGGGTCTGTGGTTTTTTCAATCCCGTGCAACTCCAGCCAAGCACGAATGAATCTTTCCAGCACCGCTACAAAAATGAATGCCGTCCTCCTTCTACGCTCCTAATTGGAAATCTGGCTCAGTAAATGACCGTAATTTGACTTCTTGTCTGCATGAGCCGACTAATGAGCAGCATAGGGGGCGGCTCTCTTGAAGCTCAGCCAAACGGCGGGGATTCTTCAATGGAGAAGATTCCCCTATTGCTATCAAGAGCTGTTTCAATGGCAATCCATTGTGAGAAAGCGAAGTTGGAATTCCCAACCACTGCCAACACCGATAACGGAAAAAAAAAATTCTAACGGGGAGTGCTAAATCATTGTCAGGGGCAAGGAATGGAAGGGAAGACAGAAGCTTTCAACTAGGTTCATCTATGTTTGGACAGGCCGTCAGTGTTGTCCTTCCTCTTTTCGTCCAGGTAAGAAGAGCCTTGTTGGATCCCAGAGAGACGAGTCGTTGTTCTTCGACGAGAGAAAAAGCAGCTGAGGAAGTAAAATAAAATAAAAACAGGGGGCGATGGCACCGCCAAGCTGAGCTTTTATTAGCGGAGGGCCAATTATTTTGAGGAAAAAGCGTGTGGTGTACGAGGGTGACGTGAAAAACGGGGCAGAGACGGAAAAACGAGGCAGGGAAGAGGATGAAAGAGGGAGGGGGGTGGGAAGGGGGCGGAGAGCATTCCGCCTTCACTCCTGTCTCAAGCCTGTGACACGAGGACAAAGTGGCTGAGAGTGAGGCTTCCCCGAAGAGAAAACACTCCTCATCATCAGAGATGGAATCCACTCTGAGTGAGGGTAAGAAAAAAGCAGGGTCTGCCCTAAAACAGAAATTGAACCAGCGCCAAAACTCACCACGGTCTAAAGGGAACAACGCAGATCGAAATTCGAGACTAGAAAACGCGTGGAGTCCACTAATTGTTCTTCAGGGTGACCCACAATAATAGGAGACGTAGACGGATTTCCACATGATGGGATCTTTGAAGTCCGTGAAGAAGCGTGTCTAAAGGAGACTAAGGACGAGCGAGTTTCTATTCCACCTCTGGCGAGAAATCGATAAAACGCGGCAGGAAGCTCCCTGGGCTCTGTCGAATTTATGCAAGAACCCGTTTGGCTAGACCGTTATTGCAACCAACCACTTCATCAATGCATCGAGATGGAATAAGAAAAAGTGCGTCCAGCAGAGCATGAAGATGCATTGGCAACGGGGGGTGGGGAAGAAAAAGTGCTACGCATATGGGAAAGCAGACAATCCAGATTCCGACCAGATCTGACGTAACCCAACGAGAGAGTTTCCACCCTTAGGACAGAACTGTAAAAAGAACAGATGAATACTAACATGTAATGTCCGATCCATTCCATTATGAAACCGGCTCGCAGGTTCCAACCTGGTCCCGTAACAACGTGATATCATTATCTCTGACGTTTCCAGGCTCTACTGTGGGTGATTTCCCAGGCCGAAATTTTCGTTTACGTCCACTTCTGCACCTCCTTGGTAAAAACTCATTTGGGGATTCCCACATTTTTGGAATCCATCTCCCTTTCCCTGTCTGTTCCAAGTTTTCCGGGGCCGTGGGAATCCTGTCATTGCGTTACATGCCTGGGGTGAATCCATTGTTGTTGGTTCCCATAGACGAGGCCTCGTCACAGGTCCCTGAGGACCCTGTTACGGGTGAGGGGGGCACTGGGAGCTTTTCTTCTTTCGCCTCATCGAGATTCAGGTCGTCTCCTTTTCCTTCTTCATCCCAACCCCCCCTCGAAGGGATATCGATTTTATCTCCTCAGACCTCTCCCTATCACACATTGAACGTGTACAGCCATCACGAGGCACGATGATTTGTATCCTTCATCCCCCGTTGGGCAACAGCGGATAAGGAATTGATACGAAGATCACTCAAACGTGACCACTAAGAGATTGATAAGAAATGGAATTAAAATATGGAACTCAATCTCGTAATTTTTTTTCACACTTATTCATTAGGTTACGAGGAAAAAAAAAACAGGGCTTTGAAAGGCCCATAATTCAAAGCGTACTTGCATCTACAAGCACTATTTTTTCCATGATCTGCTTGAAAATTCAAGAGAAAAAAGTAAAAATAAAACTAGCCCCCATCCCCCGGGAGCCGTCCTACACCACAGCTGTCGAGACAGGTATAGTACAGTGTATGGGAGAAGGGAGGTCTTTGAAGGAAAGGAAGCTGTGGGGGAGGTGAAGGAATGGCTTTCATCGGGCGATCTGTTCCTCGTAGGGGAAGGGAACCTGCCTACCCATGCCATGCTAATATCCCTAGATAAACAAACACCCCAAGACCTTTTCCTCATGACCTCAACATACACACCAAGGGAAGAGAACGTGCTCGGCACCTCCCTCGATTCCGCCGAGGAAAGACTTATGTCTTCCTTTTGGCATTCCACGGAAGGCAGATCTTCAGCGATTGGCCCAGAAAGAGCGTGCCACGACGGAAAAGAGACTTTTATGGGGAGCAAGAGTCCCCTTTCTCATCGGGAGGCCATGACGATGCGAATGGCACTTCCGTGTTCTACTATCGGCAGAAAAAAAAAGTCTTTTTGTTCTACCAGAGCTAAAGAGAACAGGTTACGCTATAGGATCCGAGAGAAGCGGAATCTCTCATTCGTTTCATCATCTCATTCTGGTCCGGTCACGAAGTTACATCATCCGTGACCACGATCTCTGGCATCGAAACACACCCCACATATTTTCTTATTCTTTGATCTAAATTGATAGCAGCGTTCGGTAGACCATGTTTACGACAGGCCTCTTCCTGTTGTTAACCGGGTTCCTCTCCCCCCCCCCCCCCCCCCCCTCTGAATCAGGTGCGAACATTCTGAAAGGATAATACTCGAGAATGAAAACGAACGCACCTTAAAGGATCCCTGGTTGTTGTCATCCAGCTCCAGGATGTACCCGTCAACGCGGGCCGTAGGATGCGGGGCCCAGGCGAGAGTGACCGTGTTGTTCTCCGCGCTGCACTCCTCCGGGATGAGGCTCGGAGCTCCCGGCGCTGCACGCACAAATCCATATGTTCGCAAATGAGCTCATTCAAACGAGTTCATGGACATAATAGGCGCCTCGAGGGCGATGCCAGATAGACAAGGGCCTGGCCATAATTAGCGGGTCATCCACGAAAGAATTCTTCGCAAATCTCATGCACCTCATTTCGGGGAAGTTTTTATCAGCTTTTAAAGAGCGACATAGGAAAAGCTTTTTTTCCTCGCCTGATATGCCATTCCCTTCGGGCGCAGCTGCGCGATAAGAAACGCTCTTTAAATGCGACGATCGTTAAGAGTTTGTAGTCAATATAATGGATTAAACACATGTTCACCAAGCCACAATATCTTCATATTCGTTCCACGGGTAGATTTAAGGGAAATAGTCATGATGGCAGCGCCAATGACAATTCACAAAAAATAGTATGTTATTTCTGCATCCCGATCCTGCAGCTTCAGGCTTCATGCATGTGAAACTTGGGCAACGTCTATTCTACGGGGAAAAGAGACACACCCCCCTCTCGATTTCTGTCAATGTGTTACGACACCTCTATCGGCAGGACTAATGATTATCATCAGTCCCCCAGGCCTGGAAAAATTACTTCCTTCTCTGTCTCCTCCTGGGGGAGATATTTTCGTGAATTTCTTCTCCGTGTCCAAATGAGAGCCCGTTTCAAGTGTTCGATGCTTCCATGCATGTTTCATGGCAGAATCGCTGCCATGTGTCTTGCTCGTAGAGAAGAGTCGCTTTTATTTGACAGGAACATTGCATGTGAAATGGGAATGGAATCGAGATGGAAGGAGAAGAAAACCCGGCAGTTTCCTCTTTTTTCCGCCCCTGTTATCACGCTTCCTCTTCTCGTTTATTATCGTCCCTCTTTTTTCCCTATCCCTAATCTTTACCGAACCAGGTGTGCTTTTTTCGTGCACACGAGGCATGGTAATTAGCTTGGCCCCGGCCCGAGGCTTCCCTTCAATCGATCCAGCCTTGAACTCCGCCATGACCACGGTAAACTCTACTCGACTGAAAATGTCAGCGAACCGAATTGAGTGATAAAAAAAGGTAATTATAAACGAGAAGGGCAGAGTCCGCGTAGAACAGAACACAAAGCATATCCGGCCGCGTGTTGACGGATAGAACGCGACAGGTTAAGGTTCTCTCTCGCCGGAAACACGCCGTTTATTCTTCTCTTCTTTCTTCAACGGTATAGGTACTGTTACCCTCTCGTCTTTCTTCACGTGGGATCACGGGATTTTAAAAGGCCCAAAGTGAAAGAACGGATTGCACCAACCGTGACCAATCAAGCCTGTAATATGTCGACAAGGTCGGCAGCAGCAAAGAAAAAAAAAGGGCAAGGCTCTGAAATATGTATGCGGGGTCACGTCACATAGGGAGAGAGAGCGAACAAACAGATAAGGTGTGGCTACTCCCCTGGAACAAAAAAAAAATACGAATCCGACTTGACGCAGTATACACAAGACAGGAGGGGAATTATTGTGTGACGATTCCTTCCACGCGAACCGACAATTAACGACCGGGTTTTATTATCCCCCTCCCATCTCATATGCATCAGGATAATCAGGTTTCCTCTTCCTTCTCGCAAGGGTCTCTCTCTCCCCTCATATACGACAGATGTTGTCTGACAACTCGGATGTATCATTAGAAGACATCACCTGCCCCCATCTACGTGTAGGCAAGTACTACGGAAAGGAATGCTGCATGCGCATGAAAAAAATTACCAGGGGCACAGGAATGAGTCGTGGTTATTCCAGTCGTTTTTTGGGAACGCAGCTGCCAGTCTCATAAATGTACTCAGTCAAACGGACATACAAACGTTGATAAAAAAAAAGAGGAAGAGATGCCATTGAAAAGAGTGATCGATTACCTTCCGGTTTCCGTTCCTCTCCGTCTTTGGCAGCTTTGACAGGGAAAAGGCCAGAGTACATGAAGGACGAAGGCAAGGGACAAGAAGAGAAAAAATGACACAAAATACCCCCAGCTTGCAACACATCTCGGTGGACCAAAAAACCATTGCCCAATATTTACACGAAAGGCGGGAGAGAATGAGAGAAGGAAAACACAAGAAAAACCGCTTTGAGCCCAAGATCTCAAGGTTGACAAACTCACGCTTCATTTGAACGAAATGGAGCTGGTGGATGGCCTTGAGAAGGGGGGCGTCGTCCAGGGTAAGGTCCAGGTCGGTGGGCACCCTGGGTACCTCCCCGATGAGGGTACCCGACCAGGTCATTTCCATCCCCCCCACTCGATGCACCATCATATTTCCTACCTGAACAACAAAAAAGCCAAACTATGGTGAATTTAATGTAATACAAGGGACCTGATTTACGTCCGCAACATGGTTCTTGCCGAAGCAAGAGAATAGATTTTTCTGAATTGCCAAGGTTGTGCAAGGGATAATTTCTCTGTTCAAGCTTAATTTTAGTACACGATATCCGCCTTCCGATTTCAGTACTTCCTTCGCGAGCCACGAATGAATTCCAGGCATTTTAAAACAGGTCTGAGACCCCTGTTACCCTAGGCCAGCTGTGCGAGAAATGAACCCACCTGCAGGAAAGCAGTGGGGTCGCCTTCTTTCAGGGCATCGATGGAGAACTGGATGAGGCCGGTGGTCTTCTGCAACTTGGCTGTGGCCAAGGAGACTTGTTCCTTCAAAGACGCCACTCGCCGATCTCTTTCTGCCCGGACCCATGCCCTCAACTCTTCCTCTCTCCTCTTCAGGGCGTTCATCAGTCTCTCCATTTCACGCCCCAACTGGTTCTCGAATGCAGCACACCCATCCTACATTGAAGAAAATCACTTATTACGATCTGAGACCCCAATAAAGCCTTCTCCGCTTAAGTGAGGAACTTCTTGAGTGTGAAGGAAACAAAGCAGAGAAAAATAGAACCATGTTTACTATATAAAGAACGGAGTCTTAAACTGGAATGAGTATGGCGCATAACTATTTAGGCCTTTCATATTGTTCCCCTTATTAATTGCTTTCACAGTGTCAGCTGCAAAAATTATATTGGTTCTCGAGAGCAGCAGAGCCTTCCTATATAATGGGAGGCTCTCGCATTATTCTCCTCTAGAGAGAAGGCCTCCATTTTCCCCCAATGTGTCCTTAACATTGACAGGATATGAGAGTCTCTGGGTGACATTGACTGAGGGGTCTCGAGGATATAAGGGAAAGCCAACTCACGTTGAGAAACTCGGCATTCTTCTTCAAGGCATGGATGAATTCTGTTGCTGCCTTGGCTCGCTCTGACAGGGACTGCAGACTCGAAGACAACTCCGTCTGTAACATTAAGATTCCAGATTTTTATGGGAAAAACAGAAACGCATGAATGCAGAAAGGGACTCTAGCGTTGTCAGGCAGGTGTCGGAAGAACATGTCAGCAGGATACAAGTTTCACTCTTATCCAATTTCCCCTTGCCTCTCATTAGTGGTGTAGGCTGCGAGAATGAACAGAGCAAACAGCTGCGACATGCAAGCGACACGCTCCCTCCCGAAATTCAATTTACTTCATGAGGCCGATAGGCCTGGGATACCTCGGTTATCTTCTCCACCCTGGCTGTTTAGCCAGGCGAAGCAGGGCAGACTGCTCGTCATATATCTAAGAAGAAGCGAAGCGACCTTTCTTCGGAGTGGAACAGCTGCTGGCGGCGACATACGGGCGCCTCGAGCCAGTCATTATTATTTCTTCAACCCCTCGAGGGTGGAAAAAAATTGCCAAGAGGGTACTCGACTATTTACCTACAGGCTAGTACACTCGCGCGGGATGAGGAAAAAAGGAAGCCGTGCATGCATTAGCGGATATGAAAGCAGGAGGAACCCCGATGAGCTCGCCTGGGGATCACCCAACTGTGAAAACAAAAGCTTCGCGGAAATGCGCGATACGGATCGTCTTTCCACAATTAAAGGTAGGAGAGAACCCCAATTAGGAGAACGCCTCAACCGCGAGAAATGACAAAGAAAAACGGGCCGTCACACTCCAGGGTGAACTGTCCAACCGGCAGGTCTCCTACTTTGCATATGGTGTGTGAAAGGTAAATTGATGCCATCTCGCTATGTGAAGTCATTTTCCGCTAGACTAAGCGCGTGACACAGGAGAAGCTGGGGAAAACAATGACCGGGTTCTGGCCTTTCGTGTCTGGACAAAGGAGATTAGGTTTTACGACTTCTTCACGAAGGGATTTTGCTTGCGCTGTAGAGAACATGAGCCTCTGCTCTCACACGCTCGGTTAGGAGCGAGTGACCTGGGGGATACCCAGGGTCAACCAGCTGGACACGACAGACCACATGACACCTTTATTTCAATGCTATTGTTGAAGGGTTTATAGTTCCCACGTTCGTCTAAGCACAGCACAATTTTTTAACCTTGCTTCCTCTAGGAAAGAACGGTAGCATCGGAACGATCAACTGGCTGCAAGCCAGGTGAAAACGACACAAAAATGAACAAAGAAAAAAAAAGAGCGAAACCCTGGCACATGCAAGTGACAGAGCGGAGGCCCATCCAATTTCCTCCAACCATCTTATGACATGCTCTTGTCAGGGAAAAACTACGGGGAATTCTGGTCTTTCCCATTACGACGTCGGTTGAACAATAAAACCAACGTTGTTTACCAGTCAGTCCAGGCATGGGGACATCTCCACGGGGCAATACATTCACAATTCACAATGGGGCAGGCGCCAGAGTGTCGTGTCTCCCCCCCTCCCCCGATAATCCTATGGCTTCAATTTCCTATTGGGATGCATAGTCTATGGGATTGTGTGCTGGGGAAGAGAAAAGAGGGTGGGGGAAAAATACAAGGCAGGTGATGGGTTGGAAACACGAAATGTTCCCTCTCGCTCCCTCCTCAATCGACCCCCTACCTTCATTCATTCATTACCCCACTGACACAATCAATCCCCGGGAAAGTGCACATCGATAAACCATTCCGTCAGCTGGACACAATGGATGATACGCCTCCGACACGAACTCGGCCCCCGAGCTTGTCTGTATCGATCCAAGAATGTTGAAATTCATTTTGGACGTGACTTCGTAACATTAACATAATGATGGCCATTAATGACGATAGCGGAGGTGGTGAAAAGCTTGCCTGATGACACATCATCAAGACGGGGGGAATAAAAGGGAAGGAAGACTTCACGGTGGGAAGGCAGAGCCAAGGCATGCATGGCCATCAACCGGATCGCCCTCTTTCGGGGGGCACAAAGACTTCACTTGACAATGCTTGTGCCGATCAATCCCGTCTGGGAGGGGGGCCGGACGTGTGTTTTCGGCTCTCCTCGACCTGAATTCCCGGAAGCCGACAAAACCGAGCCAAGGAATGTACCTGATAACATCAGCAACCACTTTGAGAAAGGGGAGAGAGGGATTCCGAAAAAGAAAACTCGGTGGGACATTCCGGCGGTGTGGAATTTTTTTACCCCCCGGAATCCCAGAAAAAGAAAAAACAGGATTTCTAATGAGATTTCTTCACACGTGATCATATGGTCGTTCCACATGCCCGCGGCAAGGACAAATGAACGCCTTTCTAGAGTGGAATGACCCCAATGCTTGCTACCACCTCTCCCCTTCCTCACCATCACCAACTCCCACGATTCATTCTTTCAAGCATTCTGCTCCTTCCCAACCATTAGCATTACTTAAATCCTTAAATAAAATATGAGCGCAACCAAGAGGAACTTCCCCTCATCCCCCCCCCCCAAAAAAAAGAAGTTACTTCAGGCAAAAAAAAGAATAAGAATCTCTCATCTCCCCAAAACTCATGAGACACTTGAATGTATTTCCAGAGGAAACACTGACTACTCTCTTGGTCCATGAGAAAGAAGTGCGAGTCTATCCCTAATAAATCCCACTCCATCCCAGGGAAGTGCGGAAAGGAACGAAGAAGGAAAGATGGATGGACATGGTTAATCTGTGGCCATGTTCAGGGGAATCCCAGAGGGTTTTCCTTTTCCCCTCCTTCGCTCTGCATTATCGTCCCTGCTGATATGCAGAAGCTGTCTCTATCCATCTTAGCACCATGATGTCGCCCAGATGCGACCCTGGGAATTTTTCATCCACCATATCTCATGCCTGCATATGGAGACATCGTCGTTCACAGGGAACTCCCATACACTGTGATACATAAAACCGCCCACGCGGGCAGGTATCAGGATCCTTTGCAAAAGGGCTGCCTTTTTTTGCTGTTTCTTCCATTTCCTTTACTTGGACAAGGAGAGGGGAAGGAAAAGAATGCCCCCGAGGCGTGAGGGGGCTCTTCAACAATGCCAGCAGGGCTGCAGCATGCACCAATTCACACAAAGGGCCTAGCATAACTTATCTGTTTGCAAACAAGCACCGGTACGACCTCGAGACCAGCGTACGTGTAACTGGATTTCAAATGGGTAGGGGAGAGATGACTCGGGATCCGAATGGCCTCAGGAAATAGCTACGGTCGATCGTGCTGTTTCCACGGCATCACTGCTCTTCCGAAGAGAGAAACCTTTGTTCTCGACCTACCGGAAGTTTACCGCCCGTTTAAACAGCATTACCTAGGCTCCATGTCTGGGCACATTCCACATCACACGTGGACTTCTCGAACAAGTCAAGGTTATTCACTAATCCTCTTTAATAGCCCTTGCAAAAAAAAAAAGGCATTCCCAAGTGCTCCTTTTTGCAGAACCATCGAGTCCATGGATTAAACCCGGATCCACGGGTACTAAAATAGGTCAGACCTCAATAAGAGAAAAAACGAGGGGGGACTGACCTTCTGCGCCTTGCATATGGCATTGAGAGCTTGCACATCGTGTCTAGCGTGCCTCCCGTCTTGCAAGCACGCCGTGCACACGGGGATTCGACAGAGCATGCAATACATGCTCAACGTGTCCTCAGAGTGCTCGGAACACTTGACACCTGCACCCTTATTCCGTATTCGCACATTGGCTTTCCCTTGAAGGGCAGGTATGAGACTGTGCTTAGCCAAGGGACCCCTCGACGGGTGACAACTTTCCCGACATTTTTCGCAGTAAAACACCTCGCACTGTTCGCACATTATCACGGCATCTTTCGGGTTGGCTTCACATAACTGGCATTTCATCGATAGGTTCTTCGTCTCCTGATATCGATCCACGACGTTCTGCATGAGTCGGTATTTCGGGAGGTTATTAGCGCCATTATCGTCGAAGTAGACGATCTTTTGGCACACGGGGCATGTCAAGGAGAAGGCGGCCTGTTGAAACGGCGGAAACACGATCCCCTGGATACTGGGCGTACCCACGTAACTGTTGGGTCGACTGGTACAAACAACTCCACTGTCGGCCTCTGAGTACAAGCTCACGTTATCGCTGTCCGGACACTCGGAACCGCATCCACTTGATCCACTATTGCTCGACTTCTCTACCTGTTCCCCGTCGATCGAGGAAGATGAGACTTCCGATGGATACGAGGATTTCCCCGTCTCCTGTTGCGAGGACACGGCACAGTTTAGACACAGGGCGTGATAACACGGCAAAAGCACAGGGTTGTAGAAGAAATGTTTGCAGATGGGGCACTTCAGTTCCTCCTCCATGGTTCCCGAGTCCCTCGAGAGACCTTTCCAAACGCAGCGCGGCGAGAGGCAAACGTCACCCTCGAAATCCTGCACGAGACTGACGAGGCAACCCCAGCAGCCTCGCTCTACGGTTCTCCCTCTCCCTCTCGCGCCTCGCCCTCATGGCGCCACCACGCCACGCCACACACGCTCTCTCCCTCTTCTCTCTGGCATGGCAATGGACTGACTGCACACTCTCCCCGCTGTCATTAGTCCCGCAAGAACTTCCATGACAAGTACTCTCCAGGCATAGAAACGGCTCCCAGTTAACGTTCTTGTTGCCATGGAGAAAGCAAAGGTGAGACTACAAACACCCGTCCATCTGATAGCTGCGTAGATTCATGTTAAGGGAAGGCTGATTTGCTGCCACATAACGACGTATTCTGTCATAGGAAGCTGACCGAGAGGAGATTCTTCACTTTCGTGTCAGATCCTATCAGGGCGTCACAACCGTGTGACGAGTACATGTCACGAGCATGTTATCCGTGAAGGTCGGGTATCACCTTTCAGGCACAAGCACACTTATGGAAGGGGGAGAAATGTTAGGGTACTCTCTATATACCATCTGGCCATTGGGTTGCACGCGCCATTTACCCCTGGGACAAGGAAAAGAGACTCAGAGAGAGGGAGAAGTAAGAGAACTCGGGAACATCTGCCCAGACGAAGAAGATACTGTTTCCAACCCCTTTCTCCCTTTTTGCAAATATAATGGCTTTCTTCCCTCTCTCTCTTTTATCCGAGGATGGGAGGAATCCGAATGAAAACAAGCACCTCCCGCTCGGATATTCTATAAAAACAAACTGATACCGGATGAACTGCGGCTTGCAATTTCCGGAGGCGTTCGAGGGGGAGGAAGGCTATTTTTCTTTCATTCTCAGTAGATCGATAATTGGTGCAGAGTTTGAATCTTGCACGAGTTCTCCATCCCAAATACCAGACACAAAAACCTAGAGGGCCCAGTAGCTGTAAATTCAGTGGGGAATAGTCCCTGCAAGAATCCCTGGCAAGGCATATAATTCCAGGCTTGCTTCGAAAATTTACAGGCAAGGTCATTGTAGTGCAAATCAGAACTCGGGCAAACTGCCGTTTTATGGAGTGGAGGGTGGGGAAAACATTATAACCTGAACAAAGGAGCCTCACGCCCTACGAACCCCGATAACGAGAAATGGGTGAGGAGGGGGGGGGGTAGAGAGGGAGAGAGAAGAGTGAAACGGAGGGCGAAGGGTCGGAGATTCCCGTAGCTGAAAAGGGGGACTGATGAAGGACGTTCCAGGCAATGCATTGCATGGTCAAGGTCTTTTGGAAATAGAGTTTCTAGTCTTTTGGTTTGCAGGAAAGGTGAACGTACGTTCTGGAAGGGGAGAGGGAGCAGCTGCTCCAGAACGACAGGGATTGTGTCTGGATCTCGCTCTCGAAATAGGGGGGTGGGGGGCGAGCCTAATGCAGATACAACAGGGGAAAGAAGGAAAATGCTTTCACCAAGCGGATGTTCGTTTCGTTTTGTTTCGTCACCTGGGACCGTTTGTCAGGGCTATGTCGCTTTCCAAGCAGATATTTGATGACACATTAGGACCCTTTCTATGGCAGATTCCTGAATGTGTAGACACGGCTGACGGAAAGATTGAAAACAGCAGACCTTCGATAATGGATCCTGAAATAGAGCATACATGGAAGGAGGGGGAGTAGGAATGATTCAACGCTGAAGAGACAGTTTTCGAAACGGATCATAAGTCAGCAAATGGATGTGCATTGCCGATCGATCCACATAGCAAACAAGCTGCGAGAGAAGTTCCGTATTCATGCTGACGAATTCGTCGCTGACAGTAGTAGAAATGGGGGGAGACACGGAAGGCATTCTCTTAGAAGAAATGCATTATGTAGGTTCATTCAAATGGAATCGGGTGAGGCTTCTTGCTATCTGAGCCAGAAGTCGAGAAAGTGACTGATTGAATCCTGTGCGATAGAGAAAGTAGAATCCAGATGATCTGCTGTGGAGATGCATGTTCAAAATGCATGCATATACGAAGGCAGGTCATGTAGACGGGAAGACTCCCTCCCCTACCTACCATGCATGTCATAATGGAGGTAATCCATTTTTCTCCAGCTGGGATCAATGAAGAGGGGGACAGTGCCCCGGCGAAGACTTCCTTATGACCCCAGCTGACAAGATTAGCTAGCCTGGATCAACGAGAAGAATAACAGAGGGGAGTGTACACGAGATAGATGGAAAGCAACTGCGTCAACAGCCCCATTGATCACCCTCCTCCAAGCTTTTCAACGAATATTGTTAGCTACACATCCCTAGGCTTCCTCTTGTTTACCTCTGGACCTTGCCATACGTCTCCGTAGTGAGGTGTAAGAATGAATGCGCGGAGCGGAAGACACTGTCGTTTACAGAAATTTATGGCTTTTCTGATATTCATCGTTCCTCCTCGGCACCCGTACCGTCTGATTTCAAATGAAGTGCCTTTTGTCAAGAATGGCTTTTCGTGGAAATGGAGAAAATTTAAAGGTCATATACACTTTGAACGTGGCTGTTGAACATGTGCCAAGGCTGAACCCCAGCATTGATGATGAAAACATGGTATATATGTTTGATGCGTGATCTCGTGCATGAGGCTAATGAGAGCTGAATCCGGTCAATGATGAAACATGGAGGGGGCTCCCGCGAGGAAGGGGGATCTTGGGGGGAGAAGATGGACACCCAGACCCCGCCCATAGTATATCCCCCTCTCTCCCCTGATGGAAAGAAAGCTCGTCATCAAAACTGGTCATCGTGGGAGGAATATTAAAACTCCAGTTCTTTTGTGTGGCACTAGGTTTTCCGGAGATATTGAGAGGGGCATCGAATCCCAATCCCCCCAAATCCCATCTTCCCCTCTGCTCTAAAAAAAAATCAATGGATGAACAGGGGGAAAAACACATTCATCTTCTGGAAGCGAGGCTATAATATGAATCCTGTCAATAAAGACCTCAAGTTTTCTATTTTCTTTTCATTTTTCATCAGGGATAAATTAAGACCATGGAGCGTGTTTTGAGGCACTTCACTATGTACATGCGACGCAAATAATAAATCTCTCTCCATTTCAGGTTCTATTTGTTAGGTTACTGCTGGAGTGAAAACATAGAACGGTATACTTCAAGAATTTTGATTGAGGCTGGTTGTAAATACATCAGTATTCCAGAAGCCAATTGACAAAGAATCGCGCTTTCGCCATCCACACAGTTGAGAAATCCACAGTGATGACTAAAAGGTCCATGACCTAGATTAGCAGATCTTCACGCCGAAAATCGGCAAGATCCATTCGGTCTTGAAAAAGTATCGGTACGAATTAACCGCAGGCGACATCTTGCGTATAAAAAAGAAACTGGGTTGTCTCTTAGGAGTACACAGATGTTGTGGGTCATGTGCGGTTGGACATGCGTGTGACGATGAAATGAAACGAGAAAAGTTCTTTGAGTTAAACCGGTAAATTTTGGTGAGTTTTTTTTTGTCGTTTGTGCACTATGCATCGCGCATAAAATTGAATATCGTCAACCCATCGTTAGCTCGGAGTCACATAATTGGTAAAAACCCACACAGAAAGGTCGGGTAGAATGTGAGACCTCACCTATTTTCAGTTTTACTCACAGCAATGCCTTGACACCTCAAGAATCGCGAAGCCCAAGTCCAAGTCTCTATGAAAGAGATCTGCTAGGTAGTGGCATCGGACACCGATGCCACTAAGTATCCACATGAGAAAGTCCGACATTAGACTAATGAGTGACGTTAGACATTCTCCAATAACTTCCCTCGTAGGTTTTTGCGTAAAAATACTGCGTGTAAGTTCAAAACCCTCGAATACAGCGAAGTGAGAAACTTGTGGGACCGCACCCCAAAAAGTAAAAAAAAAGGTTTTGTTATATTTCATAATCATTATATTTTCTTCTTTAAGGTTTTTAAGGAACACTTTCTCATGGTCTTTTCCCTCGGCAATCGGAGCAATAATTTGGAGAATAGTATGCCCAAGCTCTTCACCTATGCGAAGTAGCTGCTGTGGGCAAGAAATGCGGTAGCATTTTTAAGAAATTCATCTCAAAATCCGTCTTGTCAAGTTTCGCTGTGTAAAAAAATCAAAATTCCATTCAGTTCGAAGAGACATCGATGAAGATGCTAATACACCCATCTTCAAGTGCACAACTTTAGAGGTGGAACATGAAACATCAACTAAATTCGAAAGTTTTGATGATATTTTCGGAACTCAACGGGTATCTTAAGAAATGGTAATTAATTTTAAAACTACCATTTACGAGGTTTGTCGGCAGATCCTGCCACCACTGTAGATTTTAATGGTACCGGAATCTCAAAACCTATACATTTGGAGATAAGTGGTCTTACATCTCCACTATCGATATAAAGGTACTTCAGCCTCTTGCGCGATTTTCCCAGAATGGCATTGGGGTTTATGCTCATTGTGCCTCGTCGAAAATCCGAACGACATGGATTCTCAGATGAATTCATGTGAAACAGAGGCGCATTTTACATTGCACGAACGAATGAAAATAATTTTCCAGGTCCATGCTCCAAGTTTCAAGACATTTTTAGCAAGAAAAAGACATAAGACTTGGGAGGCAGTACATTTCAATCTCGACCCTGAATTGTGAACGTGCCTATTGTACAACATAACGCATCTCTATGAAATACAAAGAAGAAAACGTCAGTCAACATGAGCATTTTTCTGATTAGCCCAATCAGAGGCTGACTTCAATACTGCAGTTCAGTAGCAGTTTTGGTTCAGTTCCAGTTCCAATTTGGATTTCTTTGCGATAGAAATCGTCAAAAGCCCAGTGGCACTTCAGTCTGACCAAAGTCGGAACTGAAACGAGAACCGAACTGCAACTGAACTGCCATTTTGAAATCAACCAAATTGTAAATGTTATCTTTCATCTCAAGATATACTGACTCCATTTTAGGACCAATCAATATCTGAATTTCATGT